TGGAAAAGGGGAAACATAAGCCCCATTTTTAAAAAGGGAAAAAAGGAAGACCCAGGGAACTACAGGCCAGTCAGTCTCACATCTGTGCCTGGCAAGATCATGGAGCAAATCCTCCTGGAAACTATGCTAAGGCACAAGGAAAATAAGGAGATGATTGGTGACAGCCAACATGGCTTCACTAATGGCAAATCATGCCTGACAAATTTGGTGGCCTTCTATGATGGGGTTACAGCATTGGTGGGTAAGGAAGGACCAACTGATGTCATCTACCTGACTTGTGCAAAGCATCTGACAATGTCCCGCATGACATCCTTGTCTCTAAATTGGAGAGACATGGATTTGACGGATGGACCACTCGGTGGATAAGGAATTGGCTGGATGGTCGCACTCAAAGAGTTGCTGTCAACGGCTCGATGTCCAATTGGAGACCAGTGATGAGGGGCGTTCCTCAGGGGTCGGTATTGGGACCGGTGCTATTTAACATGTTGGCGAAATGGACAGTGGGATCGAGTGGACCCCCCATTACACCAAGCTGTGTGGTGCAGTCGACACGCTGGAGGAAAGGGATGCCATCCAGAGGGACCTTGACAGGCTTGAGAGGTGGGCCCGTGCGAACCTCATGAAGTTCAACAAGGCCAAGTGCAAGGTCCTGCACATGGGTTGGAGCAATACCAAGCACAAGTACAGGCTGGGCAGAGAATGGATTGAGAGCAGCCCTGGCGAGAAGAACTTGGGGGGGTTGGGTGATGAGAAGCTCAACAGGACCCAGCAATGTGTGCTTGCAGCCCAGAAAGCCAACCATGGCTGCATCAAAGGAAGCGTGGCCAGCAGGTTGAGGGAGGTGATTCTCCCCCTCTACTCCGCTCTCGTTGAGACCCCACCTGGAGTGCTAGCTCTGGGGCCCCCAACATAAGAAGGGCATGGACCTGTTGGAGCAAGTCCAGAGGAGGGCCATGAAGATGCTCAGAGGGCTGGAGCACCTCTCCTATGAAGACAGGCTGAGAGAGTTGGGGTTATTCAGTGCGGAAAAGAGAAGGCTCTGGGGGAGACCTTATAGCAGCCTTCCACGACCTGTAAGGGGCCTACAAGAAAGCTGGAGAGGGACTTTTTAGAAGGGCATGTAGTGGTAGCACAAGGGGTAATGGCTTTAAACTTAAAGAGGGTAGAATTAGATTAGATATAAGGAACAAATTCTTCACTAGGAAGGTGGTGAGGCACTGGAACAGGTTGCCCAGAGAAGTTGTGGATGTCCCTGGGAGTGTATTCATGACCAGGTTGGATGGGGCTTTCAGCAACTTGGTCTAGTGGAAGGTGTCCCTGCCCATGGCAGGGGGGTCGGAACTAGATGATCTTTAAGGTCCCTTCCAACCCAAACCATTCTATGATTCTATGAATTACAGTTGTATCAGCTGACAAGTAACTGTAGCACTGTTCACCCAAATTTAGCATTTAACGCAACAGATGCATCTAGGACTTGTCCATATCCACTTATTTCTCCAGGGCATTTCTTACACCTTTGACAACTTTGTACTGCGACTGCTGCCAAAAATGCTGTCTTCTTCAGCTGCTGAGGATCTCTGTCCTCAGAGGAACATTTTGTTTTCCTCCCAGGACTTCCACTTGGAGATAACCAACGTCTACCCTGAAGAGTACATTAGCTACAACGAACACTCAGGATCAGAGTGTGTTCAGCCACAACATCACAGTGCTAATTATACTGTTTTTCATACTAAGCTTCCTCCTGCTGCTGATCAGCAGATTTGAATACTCAAAGTAGCCTAAGCAACTGCACAATATATTGACATCTGCTTTGAACATCACCCTCACGACACTTTAATGTCAACCCAAGTAAAAAGGGTCAGCATCAATCTGCACTAGGGTAACCTGCTTGATAAACACGTGAATGCTGTTACAGGCTCTCAAGTCATTAGCAAAGCATCCTGCATGCTGAAACTGTCTGTTAGAGCCTTTGTTGCTAACTACAGCTCTGGTGGTTTTGGTATTCTCTTTGCATTTTCTTCCACGAACTGAACGTGAGGTGTGAGGTACCTAATACCACTAGATGATGAGCTAGCTAATGCAGATTAATCAAGCCTCATTTTTAACCTTATAATCTTTACTGACAGCACAGCTTGAGCTAAGTGTGCTTGATTTTGCAAAAGGGCTGCTGCCCAAGATACAGCTTTCCTTTTGGCAGAAACAGCACCAGCTGAATACTTCCTTGATAGAGAACAGTACATCACAAGGTGGCTAGGCTTAAAATAACAAACCTTTGGATCCAACCAGGAGTTATGACAGCTTGTACAAGTGTGCATTTTTCCACAGAGTGGAAAGGGCAGATGGTTTCATCTACACATATGTATTTATCAGAACACGGGAAACAACCTGTTTCAGAGCTTGAAAAGAAGAGCAAGTCAGACACTCGGTTTCCATCTCCTCAGAAGGAAGGGCAGTACAGCCAAAGCTGTGCCCTTGGCAGTAAAAGCACAATTAAGAACTTTGTGATTCAGCTTTTCATATCCTCTGGGAGCAAAGGCATTACTTATAATCAATTATCACTGAAGAACCTCACTGACTACCTCTTCCAACAGATCTGTTGTTTTTTATTGGCTTTTCAACTACATAAAAATAATAATGATTTAGAAGACAGGAAGTCATCCATTTTTTGAAAGATCCATTACCTTGCTGTCTATATATTTAGTAATAATACAGTTTATTATGTATTTTTCATAGTCTCCTATAACCCTTACATGTAATATACTTGCAAATTATTCACGCACAATTATTATGTTGCCAGTGTTATGGTTTGTACAACAAAGATGACAGGATTTTAGATATTAATACATTCATTAACTCTCTACATAAATCTTAAGGACAATATACACTTCTTTAGAAATTAACTTCCTCATTCTCTTAACGTCTTCTAATTCTTAAATTCTCTCTTAATTGTCTTAATTACTGTGTTTTATAACTTAGTCATTTTTGAGAGCAGCAAAAAAAAATTAAGACACTGAAGGAGAATCAGCATCACTAGTTCATTATAGCCTGGGTCCTCAGAAAAGTGAGCAAGGGCTAACGAGTGTGACTACTCGATCTGAGAAATCTGCTCTTACTGCTTAAGACACTATTTTCTGTTTCCATCTTGCACAGCCTGCCCAATTCTTGCTACTTTGTAAGAGAGGTGACCAAAACAAATGTGTTCCTGCAACACAGCCCTTTCAAACCACATGCTTGCATCTTAGCTCAAATCCGTCTTTACTAGCATTGTTAGCTTTGCAGTGAAGCAACTAACTTTTGGGCAGACATTTGAATTCTTTTTTTTGATTTTTTTTTTTAAGAACGTGGTCAGTCCTAAGACAGAAGTAGGTCAGTAGCTGAATGTGTCCTGCAGCAAGATTTGCCGGAGCTCCTGTAACTAAACCAAGTCAGCAGCAGCGTTCTTAGCCTCCGTTGAGAATAAACCTCAGAGAAGCGGTATAAATGAAGAAAAAATAGAGATTATATAGGTATCCCCAGTAGCCTAGAGAGAACATTCTGGGTTTACAAGATAAAAACATTCTGAAAACTGAAGCAGACCTTCAGCACTCAGCTACTTCACCACTACAAACGTTGTAGTACACTTTTAAGGACAGAAGTCTACCGAGGATAAATGAGCACTGCAAGTAACTTCACTATTTTATCCTGAAATAACCTTGTAACCTGAAGTACTACTATATTATGTGAGTTTAAAGAATTAAGAAGTTTGTGAAAATATGTGTGCTGAGATATTATTCAGGCAGGGTAAATACTAATTCCCACAAAATAACTGCCTAAGATAAACAGCTTTTTAAACATCGTTGGAAGATTATAATCTTCACTATTTCACAATTAAAAATAGAAAGAGAAAAGGGAATGAACATAAAGTTTACAACTGATTCTTATTTTTATCCTTTTACACATGAAGACTGTGAAGGATGCTTTCATACATTCTAAATATCTGATTCTTATATTTAGTCTAGTAACAGCAGACTCCTATATATAAATACTTCTGCTGCTGCCACCATCCACTTAATGCTTTAGTATTCCTTTAACCTTTGTAAGATGCTACTGTAAAGTTCAATCATTTCCTTGTATGCATTTCATTATAAGAAAAACACTCCAGAATGAGGAGGTTGAATTTTCTGGAATGACAGCAATTCCTGGAAGCAGACGACTTAAAAAGACAACTTCCAGATTAATATGAAGATTAACATTCATCCCTCTGAATTAGCAGAAGATTTTTGACAAGTCTGTTCGCAGAAGTTTAATCTGTCTTCACCCAGGTTTATCTTTACTTTCACTACACCTGACTTCTGCAGATTTTAAACCAAGTTGTTGTATGCCAATACCCGAAAGATACTAGAGACTTGCAAATTTCACTGAAGTACATTTAATTATACATCTGGGAAGACGGAGGGGAAGACAGGGTAAGTTAACATATGCACCTCTCATTTTTGAAAAAAGTATGCAAATGTGTATGCATATGCACAGAATAGAAGTTTCCTACAATCAAGTTGTGCCATATACTTTGAAAATTACATCACAAACTGACATTACTTGCTGCAAGCCTGATAGCAGCGTGAGCATACATTTTAAAAAACAAACCCCAGAGCTTGCTTTGAAATGGTAACATTTATAGTTCTTGAACTACTACAGGAAATAAGATTTCAAATGAACATCTTTTTCTATTATCCATGGGATCAAATAAGCCATAAATTCCTCCAGCATTAGCTACACTGATGAAATCTTAGCGACTATTCTCATTCAAATCACGGTACAAACGGATATGAAAACATAGCAAAGGGAAGAGAAATAAAGAATGGATTCTACAGTACATACATTCTGGTGGAAGTCTGTTCTTTCTAAAAGCAAGTCTTTCAGTTTTCTTTCTGCTTTCTGCCAAACTAAACAGGACTCCGTAAACATACTGACGGACTGGCCTATAAAGGAGAGCAGCAGGAGGCAGGTCTTTGTTGGCTTCATCTTCTATAGAAACGGCAATTTTGATTTCACCCTTTTGCATGAAAGAAAGCAGAAAAATAGGACATGTTATAGTGAACAGAAAGTATTTACGTACGCATGGCAACTCTAACCAGCTCTAATATAAACCTCATCTAGTCAAGAAAAATGTGATTCAGCACTAATGTGGATCTATATATGTGAAGGTAACAGCAGAGGAGGATTACCCTACAATCTTCTTGCTTTCCTCCAATAAGTCTCCAGGCTCTGACTATCCCTATTGCTCTCCTCTTTCTCTTCTCCATCACACACCCTTTTTTTTTTGTCTGGACTATTTGTAGGTGAGGATTACCTAAATATTGGTCTTCAAATATGGATACTTTGAGGAGTGAAACAGTACACGTGAAAATACAGTAATGTGCATATAGATAGTCAAAGCATATTTGAAGCTGATCTAGATTTCAAACAGCTATTTTAAAAAATATTCATGCTGTTTAAAAACACCAGTCTTTCTAGTGCAAGGATTTGAAACAGTATTGGGGACTCACTGTAAACAACATTATGAGAAGACCTGGTCAAAAAATCCTAACTGGGAATTACATAAGTAAGGTTGGATTTGAATGTATATAAATAAAGCTTTAGCGTTTTATACTTTTTCAGAAAAAAGCAGGAAAGAACCTTCCAACATTCTCTTTCAAAACAGCAGCAACATTCTGCTTTCTGTGTCTGCGCATCCAACCATGTTAAGATTTTCTTGGAAAATGACTGACTTCACTGCATTGCTCCCAAATACCAGCCTTTATTTTCAACATTGACAAGCAAGCGCTCTGTTTTGCTACTTTCGATTAAAAAAACATTTAAACTCTCCCAGTAATGAATACTGTAGGTGACATCTTGGAGTGATTACATTAGGATATTGTCAGGTTTAACTCAGACAACGCTGCTTTAGGTGTAAGGTATGTCTGAAAGGTCTCTCTCTATACATACAGCAACATAACCTGAAACACCTCTAAGTGCCAACTTCTAAAGAATCCCGTAATTATACAACAAGATATCTGTCAGTGTACCCATGGTATACTTTAGGTCGCCTGTGCGTACTTGTTCAAAAGCATTTCAGAGAATGGGGAAAGAAAAACAGTCTTAAGTAGTACCAATTTATTTTTGGTAGTTTGACTTTTTTTCTCTGTTGGGAGTGGATTTCTCAAATGCAGGCATTTAATTCATTTCTTCCCATTGTGAAATACGGTATTAAGTAGTATTTAAATGTACTAAGAATATTTGGGTATGCAAAGTATGAAACAGAACTGGCATCAATGGTCTTCATACGCCTTTTGATTCTTCCCCACTTCGATAAAGAAGGGAAGCATAAGAATATGACAGCAATACAAGCTATGGTGCAAAACGAACACATGGGAAATAGGAAATCCAAAGCTCAACCTTGAAGCAGAAACTTCTCTTTTTATGGATTTCAGATCCCCATCTACGGTCCTTATTGTCCTGAAGAGGATTTTTAAGATGAATACAAGTTAACAGGAATGTGGACAGTGCCGTTTTGCTAGATGCTGTACAAATATGTACATTGAATGGGCTTTATGTATGAGAACCAGTAGTAAGCGTTTTGAACCCTAAAGAGGAAGAAGATTGAAGTTGTCTCGTTGTGGGACTCATCTGTTTGCACTTAGAAGGAACAATGAACTTATGTCTTTTGAGACTAGATTAAGTCAAATACAGAGCTGTGCAGGAACACCACTGCTCTGGGCTCCTTCCCAGTTCAACACAGAGCAGACTTCAGCAGCTTCCAGACACTGAAGCAGGTTATCACTGCATATTTCTGTAAGAAGCTCTCCCATTGCTTTTCAGGGTGTCCTCATGCGGCCATTCAGGTAGATTTTTTTACTGGACACACTGAGCAGACAGAGTCCTGTGTGAAAATGCTTGCAGCTTACCTGGGATTTGAAGGCTAGCACATAAAATAGCCAAGCCAAAAAAAGAAAGGCATCAGAAACGTTCTGCCAAACTCAAATGAACAAAAATTCAGAACATCATTGAGTTCATCTATAATTACATTTTAGGATTATACAAAAGGGATTTCTTAGAGCTGCTATGTTTCTATCAGGGCTAGCTACCAAGGATGGGAGGGATCAAATTGTGAGGGAAAACAATCTAAGTATTTTTGAACACTGAAAATAGAAAAGACTTGGCACAGACACCAAAGCACATACGCAGGAAGTTTTAGATGGAAGTGGACTCTATATAAAACCACACACACATATACACACACATACACAAACATATACACATGCATAGAGATATAAAAATATCTAGGAAATATTCAGGAAAAGTGAATAATTTTGTAAGTAAGCACTTCTAATTACAGTCATCTCATATTTATTGGAACAATGTACCAGACCAGATCAGTAGTTAGAAAACAGGGAAAAAAGATTGTTAGAAGCTCTAAAAATGGACCAAAACTCAAAGCATTAAAAGGATGTAAATTTATGATACTCTTTAGCCAGAAATGTAAGTGCAATTATCTTTACAGAAACATTATTTCACAGCACAGAATTTTTAAATGTCATACCTTGGTTAGGACATGAAAGATGTAGGGATACATTAACCCCTTCTTGTGCCTGTGTTCTGCCACTCTTAATACTTCAGGTGCTACAGGAGGTAATGGAGGGGTGGTAATATCCATGTGGTTTCTGGTGGGCATTGACAACAGGCATGGGATTTGTGGATTACTGGTTTGATTCCCTTTGACATCAGCTGCCTGACTTCCTGAAGAAGCACTAGAGGAACCTTCTGCCTATAACAGAATATACAAAGTAAAGTGCTTTTGAATGTGTACAAAAACATACCAGAAGATCAGCCAAGAGAAACAGCAAATTTCCTTCACCCACAATGAAAATAGTAAGTCTTCACATTATGTTGTATCAGTATGTAGAATGCATTATAATTTTCAGAAAATGTAAACTTTCAGCTATTGTTTGCTAGCAGAAGCAAATTACTGAAAAAATAAATATTATTGTAAAGCTTTAACTTACTAACAGCAACAGTAATTATTATTTTAATTTTTAATTGCACAATGCAGAAGGGGGACTGATGACCTCCTAATGAAATGTGAATGACCTCTTAACTAAGTACTTCCAAGATACTACCAACTAAATAGGTTAACTAACAGTCACAAAGTCTATAATTTATCTAGACTTCCATTAAGACATCCCTTCACAGTTTGCATTTCTAAATGAAGCAGGAGAAACTACAGTTCAATTTAAAGACATGCAAAATATATAGCGTCTGTACACAAAAGTCTTGTACATGTTTTTTTTTCTTTTTTAACATAAATTCTTTTCTCTGAGAAGATTGTAAGAGAAAATGACAACATTCTCTGACTGCAAGATTAAACTGGCATTTTATTCCATTTCTAGAAATGTAGTTCACAAATTCATAGAAAAAACATGACGCATAAAAATATACTGTAAACCTCCCGGTGAATAAGCCTTTCGTAAGAATTTATGTTGTATCTATGTTTATATTGTATACTACCAAAAAAGTAGTTCATTCCTAAAAATGCTTGTCTTCAAAACTGAAAGTTGTTTTTAGCTTGAGTTCATACTAGTTTTGTGCCTATAAACTATTACAGTAATATTCAAAACTTTTGAGAGTGAAATTGAATTTCTTCACTTGATGATACATCATGCATGAGTACTTTCACAATTTGTGTAGAAATTTTCACATGCTTCATAAGACTTTAAAAGCAAAGCTGAAACATAAATTGCCGAAGCCATGAAATCCCACAGAACAAGTAACAAAAAAATAGGCCCAAACAAGCTCAGCTTGTTCACTTCAGGCTCTTACGAAAAATAGAAACCTGCATGTAAAAACAAAAACCCCCCCCCACAACCTCCAAAACCCTTCCATAGGAAGGTATATATTAGTGAAAACATGATCTAGCAAAGTATCAAAGGGGCAACGTTATTTTCAGATTACATTTTAAGCACACAATCAAAGAGGACATTACTGAAAGATTATATTGGTAATCCAGACTTCATTTTATTTATAAAAATGAAAATATACAGAAGAAATGGTTAAAACCTGTAAACCAGAACACTTCTAATACAGTATGCTAATACAGAATGTTTTTTATAAACTTAAGCTATCACAGCTCTATTAAATCCGTGTTATATTATCACATATATTTCTTTACCGGTTTAAAGATTTCTGCCCGTCTTCTACTACCCCAGCAACTAAAAGTCAGTGATACCGGACCACAAAGAGAAGTTTACAGAACTGCCCATTACTGGGGGCACAGAGGGAAGAAGAGAAAAAACCCCAAATGATAGCAATGCTTTCCCTGTTTGCACTACCCAGGTTCTTCCTGGATCTGCTCCAGCAGTATTCAAACACCTAAGCTGAGGAACTACCACAGTTAAAAGTATTTTTTCTTCTTTAGTAATATACATCCACCCAAATGAGATGAGCATACCTTTGTCATGTATAATCACACAGTGAGACAACTACGAGCAAGGAATTTTGACATTTAAGTCAAGTGAAAGGAGTGTCAAGATTGCTGCTACCTGTCTGATCTACGCTAGATTTTCAGCACTTCAAATTACCTCAGAAATTCACATAGCTCATTCAGTTGAAATCTTCAGGAAATATTTCTTTTTTTTTTAATCATTAATATATATCTCTCTAGGAAATGAGTTCATCTACAAAACGCACTCATAGTCCTCCCTGCCATGCTCAACAGATGCAACTGTCTTCTCCTGCTACTGAAGGCTGAAGAAGTGGTTTGATACTAAAAAAAAATAGGCAAGTAAAACTCACAAGCATTTACACTAAACTGGATACATTTAAGTTGGACTGCATGCATACATCTACTGGAAAGTTTAATCACTGCTTATACAGCTCTAATTCTGCGTGTACAAAGACAGGCAGACAGACTTGCCATGCAGCATCTCCCACCCGTCCATTGCCCAGCTCCAGGGGCGGCACCACCACCGCTCCGGCTGCTCCCCCCCTCTGCTTCCCTCCTCTGCAGGACATCGGGCTGCGCAGCACACACGCAGGGCTGCAGCTGGGACGCGCCGGGCTTCATACATGGCCCGCAATACAGAGCGGAAAGGAATGTAACAGGTCAAATTAGCATTTGCATATGGTGACTAATCTGCAGGCAGATACAGTTATTGTACGGGGTGTAGTCTGCAAAAATAATAACCACTGATGGATGAAATCATCAGCTTGGTATTTTAAGCACAAAGCCCAAGTTTACTGGAATTTCTATGCCAAAGGTACAGGGAAAATGTTCTGTTTGTCTACAGAGTAAGTAACTCGTGACTGTTTTTTTTGACACAAAATTAACAGTTGGTGTATAGTTCCATCTCAAAGATGCAGCGATATTAAGTGGAAATGCTTTGAATTTTCTTCATAAACATGGTTCAAACTTGGAATACAGAACACCATACTCTTGATTTGATAATGGTTCTAAATCTTGAAGAAATTTAATAGGATAATGTTAAGTCTTTATCAAGGGCTTAGTTATCCCATCCTTACTTAGTTAAGTAGCAATACATTCTAACTGGTCCCACAGAGCTACTTTAGTATGTATTATGTGAAATTCATACCAGGTGGTTATAAAGGACTTTTACTCCTCAGCTGAGCTTTAACACGCCTATAACGGTCTGTGGCTAACACCGAAAAGTGTGTTAGAGCTGTTCTCACTACACTGTAAGTTATATGATATGAACCGTGAACCCACGGACACTTAGACTACTATACTTCTCAGTAAAAATCAAAACAGTGCACTACTGTAAACACGCGTAGTGATATCCAAGGATGAGATTGTTAGCTAAGGAGGAAACAAGTTTATTGGTTTCTTTCTATGTTTTATCTAGCATTTTCTAATACATCCTACTTAATTTTCATTTTTATGTATATGCTACAATATTCCTTGGAAAACATCTTACTGTACTTTAAAGCTGTTGTTTAGTAAAGGTGTGAAGGTTTACACTAAATCTTACAGATCAATATTGAAAATTCTACTCAGCTTGTTGTAAAGCTTTAATACAAAATAATAAATTGTGATGTTTGGAACTTAAGGAATTACCTTTGTTTGGTCTCCCAGCTCCGCACGCGTTTGGCTTTCTGACTGGGTTCCTGTTTTTTCCCAGCCTATTTTGTTCCCACTGACATGGCTGAAGGACAACAGAAAGAAAAACATAGTATTAACGTGCTGTTTAAGATACAATGGGATAAATCCTTGGTGACTGTTACTGGAACTATGGGCCAGAGAGGACTCTGATTTTACAGGATGCTATGTATTAGAAATGTCAATCTGTAGAAGTCTCGAAGAGACTTTAATACTGACACTTACTCATTTACACTATGTCAACATTTGGATTGTATTTAAAAGCTGTATATTACAGTGACTAAATAATGTTCATACAGGAAAAAATCTTGATTGAACTTTAAATATTTGTCACTATGCCAAGTAACTTCCATCAATTAGAAGACTGTTTCTACAAACTGTGGTATGACACTGTCTAGATTTCAGTTTCTAAATTTACTCAAAATTTATTGCATGAAATGCGTAAGGCAACACTATAAAAAAAGCTGAAAAACATTGTGTTTTCTAAAGCAGTCACATTTCCAGTTCTACACTGCATGGAAGCCATGAAAACTTACTTGATTTACTAAGCAAAACACATGATAATATTTAAAGTTGACAGACTGCATCAAAAAAACAAAGTCCAAGCCATCATGCACAACTGTAGACACATTCAGAATTGAATATCTAGTAACATACTTATACTATTATACTCAACCCCAAACTTTTAGAAGCAATCAGAGACCTGCTAAAGCCCCAGGCTTTGATTCTCACACCGTAAGCCACTACACCTAACAAGACAAAGGTAAACACAAACTACTTCTGTTCAAATTTCCTTTTTGTAGGTCAGCAAGCAGTAATTAAATGAATGTCTGCACAACTTTATTGCCAAGGACAGACATATGATCTAGTGGAAGCCAGAAATACTTCTGCAGTAAACAAGGCACATTAGTAGAAGAGAGCACAAACAATTTCACTGCTGCTTTGTTCCACGCATAGCCTGTCAATGAGGGCTCTTAAGTCACTGTCCTAAATGGTGAATTTCTGCCATGCACACCAGGTTTCTTTGCAAAGCCACATTATGCTAAAATCTTAGAAGTGTAAACACTACAAATTCAGTGAAGTTCCATAGTTTTTAGCTACTGAAATTTTAATGAATTATACTGTGAAGTAGGAATATTTCTTTTATAAAAAGTAAAGAACTCTAAGGCTTTATAACATTTACCAAAATCTCACTCTCTCCTTCTTTCAATAAAACATAAGGGCAGAAGTGGAAAAACACCCAGCATTATTTGGTTTTGGATTTCTGCTTGTTAAGGAACAAGGCGACTAGAGTGAACCATGGATATGTTTGCAGTCATAGTGACCTAAAACTATTTTCTAAAGGTCTATCATATCACTAATATGCAGATTGCTTACTTTCAGGATACTGGTGAACAATTTGGAAAATAAATTGATTTTAACAGAAGCCAAGTAAGAAAATATCCTCATGAAAAACTTACTTCACTGCACCTCCATTGCCTTCATCATTGTCGGAGGACGAAGATGTAGAAGAGGCAGGAAAATAGGTTGAATCCACATGATTAGGGCTCCCACTCTGAGCTGGATTTATTGGAGAAGATCGTTCATACAATGGTGTATGTTTTCCTTCGTGAGGAATGTTACTGTAGTTGTTCTGCTCAGAAAGACTTTTTCCACCTGTTTCCAAGGTGATGGCTGGCTCAGAGAGACTATATGGGTATGGACCCTGACCTTGGGCCCCACCCTGACTGGACATCTGCTGGGCCTAAAATAAAGTGACCTTTCTTAAGTGAAGGTAACAAAAAGGCTTTTCTTTTAAAACAAAATACAGTATTTTATCAAGTAGCATTTTCCAAAGGTACACATTAAATCTCAGCCATCTTGGACATCTACAAAAATTGTTCTACCAGAGTCTGTACCATTGCTATAGTTCCAGACTTAATCAGTGAATGCCCATGCTAAAGAAGTTAGATATACCTTTCCCACCTAGATTTTAATTTGATGAGCACAGCAGGTTTCTCCCAAGGAGAAGGACAGAGGGCTATGCTTACCACAGGTTTTGCTTGTAGTGAGGTCTGTGGAATGTTAAGCATCTGAGAAGGAACATATGGTGGCACTATCCCAGGCATACCAAACTGATTTGGTCTGGCTGCTGTATTGCAAACGGGGAGGAGGGGGAAAAAGATGGGGAAAAAAAAAAAAAGGGGCAAGAAAAAAAAACCACAAACAGTCATGAAAACGCTCACTATTTGACACAAATGTTAACCTTTTTAATCCTTTTGCTTCTATGGTTTATTTATCCTTGTTCTGTTAGCATTACTGTTTTCTAGTATGCCTTTAAGTCAGTTTTATTCATTTTTGCTTTTTAATAAAAGTACTTTGCAGTTTGTGAAGTCTATTTTACTTCTCTCACCTTCTCTCAGTTCTTTGTATCTCTCATTACTGCACATTTCTATTCTACCCGGGAATCAAAGGAAGCTTAAAAGAAAAAAGCCCAAGAGATGTCATAATGAAGAAGCCGGCAAAAACAATGTCACAGAGACACATAATGCTGGTACTTTCTATCATTTGAATATTAGACCTAGAGTAGCCTTAACGTCCTTTAATGCAGGTCTTTGAATGTAAATAAAGACACCCCACCCCACCCCCAAAAAAAGAGAAGGAAAAATCTGTATTAGTATTCCAGTATGGTAACTGCAAATCTTTAGAAAATTTCGGCTCAAATTGTGTTTTTGTGTTAAGAATGAAGTATATGTAGTAAATCCTGTGATCGTACAGTTAATTTGTAAGCCCTGAGAATAATCTGCAATGCCAGAACAATTCGTGGCTGCAATTTAAGCAGGTATGTTATGGCATCGAAAAATAAAAAACCATAAAGGGATTTCTAAAACATGTCAGGTAGTTCCAGTGAGAAATAGGAAATACGTTTTATGGAACAGAATTAGAACCGTCTTCATGCTTGGAACTGGTCACCAGATTTCAGTTGTTTACAGCACCACACTCTTAAGTGTCCTAATGTTAGAACTGATGCAGCAATCAGTCCAGGTTGTTCTCCTCTTTTCGGGGAAACACAATCTCTGCATGTATCCTGTGAAAACCTTCTTTTGAAACCTCATATTCAAGGGTCAATGAAAATTGCCAGAGAATATAAACATTTTTATAAGCTTCTGCTAATAATACTATTTCTGATTTAGGGTTATGCCCGGTTTTAGTTAAAATGAAAAGCCTTATTTCTTTAATTACTTACCTAGGTAATGTGGTGGATGAAATGGCATAGGTTTATTAGTTGCTGAGTAATAAGCAACTGCTCTCTTAAATCGAGTAACTTTGTCATCTGTTCTAGACTAAAAAAAAAAAAACCAAAACCTGTCAGGAGCAAATTCAGGCATGTCACCTATAGGTCAGCACGGTACTGTAGAGTAGTTAACGTGTAACATATCACATACAGTATTAATGCCTATGGACCCTTGAAGACTATAGCACTACTCCAGCACAAGAACTACTATGTCAATCCATGTAAGGATAAAGCTTTACAATGCTACCTCCGTGTACCACCAACTGGCAATGACAGTACACAAAGCCCCTTTGGTTATCAAGAATTTAACTTCAAAGCACTGAGGGTAAATGCAGCGTTTTTACCTTCGGAAAGTGTGGAAAGTGAAATTAGGGTATCTAAGACACTGCATATACCAACAGATTCCTATTATCAACTGATGCAAAACACCATAGAATGCAATTCAACACAAATGTATAGCACAATAGGTTTAAAAAAACCCAAACCAATATTTTGCATTATACTTTACCTGTGAATGTTGAAAAACATCTTTTGCTATGGCATCCAAATCAGTGGTGTCCTGAATATTACGGACGTAGTCAGCTACGGCTTTGATCACTACGTCACAAGGTGGTAAAACTAACTGGTGAGCACGTACCTATGCAAACAAACATACATGCCAGCATGAAGTAACAGGGTAGCCCAAGATACTTCAGTTACACAGCAGAAAATTAAACTGTTTATTTACTGAAAACATATTCAAAAAATTCCGTGTTGCCAGATTTAGTACCTAAATATTTTTGGGCCTTCCACCTTTTTTTTAAGACTTCACCTTAAACAACAACTCACATGTTTTTCATCTACCGTATATTTTTATATATGTGAAACCTCACCTTTATGTAAATATTTGCTGGTTAAGTATCAGCTCCAACAACAAACAAGGTCAACAATGCTAATTATTTTACTGCTTTCTAGTTGGACATTTCCTCTAGTGCAAAATGCTTTATCTAAGGTGGATACATCCTTTTTTTTTTTAATATATATAATATGCCAGAAAATATTTTATTTTGACATAGTTTATATTCTGAATGTAAAGTGGTATCAGAATTGGTGAAAAGAGATCCACTGGGAACAGGAAGATCTCTATGTACACAGAAAAGGAGGATGGGAAAAACAAATGGAGAAAAGGAGTATCTCAAGGAAACTTATTTTCAAGATTCTACAAAAATTGGTCTAAAAATCATTATTTGAAGATTACATAGTTTAACAATTAGTGTTTTCAAATTTTGTATATTTAATTATCTGTAGTAGAATATACTCATACAGCTTCACATTATATATAACATCTCAGGCAAGAAATTATTTTTATCTCCTTTACGTTAGACAGACGAAGAATGATGTATGGATTTCTTTCGTTGCTATGATGTGAACATAGTTACTTTCTCTTTCAAGCATTTCGATATCAACATGGTTATAGGGCTGGTTACTCTTTTTGCAGTCACAGAGGAAATTCTTAAGATAATTCCACTGATAAAATAGTTTCAATATTTCAGCATTAAAATAATTGATGTTTCACCACCCAATGACACTGACTTCCCATATTCACCATTTTAAATGGATGAGAAACAGGCGCTTAAATGCATGATAAAAATTTCCCTTGAGTTAATGACCTGAGCCCATGCAGACCCTAGATTTGAGTCCACAGTACATTCTACTCAAGATGCTAGGAAAATGATGAATTCCCATTGATTCACTGGTCACTGACTCAGGCCACGGGTTTGAAAAGATAAGAATCACTTTTGACTTTGTAGCAGAAGACTTCTCTTTGTAGTAAGAAAGAGTTGGAAGAACTTTGTGGGACGACGTCCAAAGGCCCTACAGACGAAGCTCCCGCAGCTCAGCGACTGGCAGCTGCAGATGGATGTGCTGTACCAGGAAGTTCTAGACTCAGTTCTTTGGCCTGATCCCTTCTCATGTCCACATGGAGAAAGGAGGGGAACGGGATAGTCCTGGAAACCCTGGACTTCCATCTCAACACTCTCAATAGGCTCCTCCTGAAAATAAACTAAGGATTATTCAGCATATGCTTATGGGAATTACTGCTCTTACATGCACTGCGTGGCCCTATATGGGGTATAGAAACTTCAGGTCAAGCAACCACCACGGACCATTGCGAAACTAAAAGCAGTGAGCGGTGCTGCTAGCCGAGTCTGAAGAACTACTCAACCATAGGCAGTTTCTGTTACTTTTTCTCTGTGCTGCACAATGCACACACCCAGAGGGGCAGGAAAGAGGTCTCCAACTACGTGTCCTAAATTTTCGAGGATGCCTGAGGAATTTCTAAAAATTCTGTCTGGAACCTCTGTACAATTCTGGAGCATTCCACCTGTGCTTATAGGGGCAGCTAGGTTTTTGCTTTTAACATATTTTAATCTGCCTATTTGCAAAATTCAGTGATTCAAGACTTGAGTTCTATTTTTTAAGGTATGAGAAAATGTGAAAAATCTTTATGCTTGCATTCTACACAGAGGTATCATACTTTACTAGAAAATACTGCAATTCAGCCTTGTCAGAATTCTGAATACTACTTCATTAGTTTTACCTTTTCAACCTCAAAATCTGTACCACAACCCCTTTTTATTTTATATGGAGCCTACCATATGTAATTATTTTCTTTCCTGCTCTTATTTGATCCACTTATTATGCAATTTCTTAGACTGCCTTCTTCATATTTAGACCACGGAATTTTTGCCCAGATTCCCATTTTAATTAATTTCCTTCTCCTAATGTCTACTTTTTACAAATATCAGGATATTCATTTCTATACCTGGTCATTCTCTACCAGAGATGAGCTCCGCATTTTATGAGCCTAAATTAAGAACAGTTCTGTATAGCGTAGTCAGTGGCACGGCAATTATTTCTATTTCAGGTAGTAAATTCTAAATTTTCACTAGTGTGCATTCTGAATATATACAACAATACTAAATACAGATCACATTCTCATGTAAGCTTACAGTCACAAATATTGATGATAAAATTTTGCACCCAATCTGCAAGCAGAACCAATAGATTTTCTTCTCACTAGTAATCTAAGTCGTTTTATGAACACCTTCGATTTTATTTGTACGCGTAACAATCATACATCTCTAAAGCAGCTGAATCATAACATGGCTGTGTCATGTTAGATGTGCTCTCTGTATTACTACCCAAGTGTTTCTGCAATCTCTGCTTGAAAATTCAGTGGATAAAAGGAGTAAGCAATCTATCATTAGTTTTATGTGATCTCCAAGATAGTAATATTTAATAAACCATAAAGAGTCAGCATCAAGAGAAGACATCACATCACTCTAGCACTAATATTCACAGCTCAGACCCTAGAAGTATGAAGCTCAAGTGAGACATATTAAGGGCTTACTATGCGTTTCGCCCCCAGTTTAGCTGCTTTTAAACAAACTGCCTAAAGACTCACTGGAGCATATTCTTAATTCCTGAAGTGAGACCTTCTGAAAGGTTTAGAGACATTTCCGATATTTGGATTTATTTGGATTATTTTTGTCGTTGCAACGACACCCAGTCCAGGTGACAACACCCTCAAAACTAGAAATGTCATGACCTACACAGAAGCCAGAAATGAAAAGTGGAGAAATAAGGTGTATTTTCCTGATATTGAAGAAGAAAAGATTTCTACGCATTTTAGAACTTTCCAGAAATCCAAAGTTGTAGTTTTTGTACTGAATCATAAATAATGTTTCTAATACTGTTTGCATTAAAATACAGGCTAAGTCTTATTAAGTGTTAGGTATGGGAAAAATTAAGACTTAACAGCAAAAGTTACAGAAAACGTGTTCAAGGTTCAAACTTACTTTTACTTGCACACAAAGCATTTCAGAGCAAAATCAGCATCATATTTTACCAATTTCTCATTATAAGAGATGTCTTCCTAGAAACTATTTTTCTCCTTATCCTCTACAGAAGAGTTGCAGACAAGCAACAACATGGAAAATCAATTTTGGAAAGGCAAACATGGAGGTGGTTCACACACTTGGAGGTGATCAGGTTAGAAAGCATGACATCTGAAAACGGCATGGTTTCTTTGCTAGTTGTAAAAGGACTACTTCAATTTCACGACAGACCACTAACAAAAATCACAAGACCTATTAATGCACTCTGAAAAGATTAAGCGGGGAAAGGAAATTAATTCTTCATAGGTATTTGCCAAAATGAGAGGCAGAGAGTAAACATTACAAGCCTAGAAGCTACAAGATAAAAATGTCTTGGTTTTGACAAAATAAACTTGCAAAAATGTTTTATTGGAAGAGAATAGACTCACATATGCATAACTCCACAGGATTATTAGGATACTGTGGAAGGCACCTAAGATACACTTGCGAAAAACTACCCGATTCTGGGACAACTCCACTTGCCCACTGTCTCCAGGAAGTGAAGCCTTTAAAAGCTAATCAACACAAGTACCAGCATTTACTGTTGTGCCTGCTGGAAACAGATAATCAGTTTAGTTTTATTTTCAAACCATTAAAAAAAAGACCTCGAACATTCAGTTACTGTGAGGTGACACATAGGGAACATTTTTTTTTTTTACTGGTGAGAGAAAAGGCTGAAGATATGGAGAATACTATAACAAATTGCCTGGGTTTTGTTATTTTTGTCTAGTAATTTCTATCAGAGATTGAATCCAAACTGTTTGGATCTTGTACCAACCTTTGAATGTTAAAAACATTTAATCTTACAAGCTTGTAGTACATCTGATCTAATGACAAACCTTCTGAAGAGGCAAGAAGTTCCCCGGATGACTTAAAATCCTCTCAAACCAGCAAAGCTCAGCTTTTCCCTGAAGATCGGGTTATTCTATTAGAAATTCTCTCTCCTCCTCCCTCCATCCTGGTTGGGAAACTGACCTCCTTCTGCATGTCTTGATGGTAACAAGAACACACACAACATGGAGATAATTTGCTAACAATTTATACACACAGGACTCCAAGAAAACCAAATCTAAACAGAGGAACAAAAATTATGTCAGAAAGAAAAGGGGAGAGCAGACATACAAGCCAAAGATGTGATGCAGACAGACTTCATATGAGACAACCTGCGTGACAACCCTGCACACTACCGCGAACTCGAGGGCCGGGCTGCCATCCAGAAAGACCTAGACAAGCTAGAGGAATGAGCCAACGGGAACCTTCAGAAATTCTACAACTACAAAAGCAAAGTCTTGCACCTGGGCAGGAATAACCCCTGGCTACTCTGCAGGCTGGAGCTGTGCCAAAAAGGACCTGGGGCTCTTGGAAGACAGCAAACTGAACATGAGCCAGCAGGGTGCCCTGGCAGCAGAGAAGGCCAGCTGCACCCTGGGCTGTATAACAGGAGCAGAGCCAGCAGATCGAGGGATCTTGCTCCTCTGCGCTCGTTAGATCACCTCTAGAGCGCTGCATTCAGTTTTGGGCTCAAGCCAGATGTCAAAAAAGTTGAGCTAGTTCTGCAGAAGGCCATCAAGATGGTTAAGGAGTCGGAGCACTTGCTCCATGAGAAGCGAGTGAGGGAATGGGGCTTAATTCAGCCTGCCAAAGACAAGACTTTGGAGATACCTAACAGCAGCCTTCCTGAAACTACAAAAAGGTTATCAAGCACATGGAGCCAGGCTCTTCACAGTGGTGCACTGTGGAAGAACAAGAGACAACAGACATAGCCTGAAACAAGATGGGTTCAGACTGTATGCAAGGCAAAACATTTTTACCATTGGGACTGTCAAACCACGGAGCAGGCTGCCCAGACAGGTTGTGCAGTCTCCAACTTTGGAGGTTTTCAAGACTAGTCTAGGCAAAGCCCTGAGCAACCTGTTCTGACCTCAAGCTGACAATGCTTTTATCAGGAGGTTGGACTAGATGACTTCCTGTGGTCCTTTCTGACCTGCATCATCCTACGATGACCCTCAGCATCAAAAAAAAAAAAAAAAAAAAAAAAAAAAAAAAAAAAGACAGACACCTACTTGAAGCCTATCTTAAGAGTACCACCTTTGTTATCTGAGCAGCAGCAAATTACCGAAGCACCTACTTAGCATAGTAGTCTCCCTCTGGCAGACACCCTCAGTCAACAGAGAAAGACAGGAATTTCCTAGAGCAATTCAGAGAAGGAGCCTAACCTGCATATTTTAGATTGCTTTCTGGAAGCATCTCTCTTTGCCTCTCTACTGAGATGAAACAACCAAGGAGATTAGCTAACTGATTTTGCCAGGTAAAAATACATGTGGAATGTTGGATGGTGGGCATATAAAAAGTTTGCCAAAGACAGTGCAACGAATTCATCCTTTCAAAACCATCCTAACAGGAAGATGATCCACCACAAAATGAAGACGGCAATCTCATAAAGTTTCCCTGCACGCTCTTCTATTTCAGAAAGGGAGATTGCATTGAGACGTGTTTCTAAGGTTACCTTGTGAATAAAGAGTCAGCACTTCTTCGGTGGTATGTGCTCCCAAATAGGTACTAATTCATTCCAGAGATAAGCAACTGCCCTTCTAATATCATTCTGATGGTATTATACATTGATCTTGAAGCTCCATACCGTAAAAAGCTTCCCCAGAGTAAGAACCGAATTGTCTTTGTCAAAGATAAATCCCAAAGCACACAAATAAAAAGTAGTATAATGCTAGTTTCCAAACAAGGTCTAGCAGTCAAATTATTTCTCAGAAAGTCTATCAGCTGCTTTCTTGTTTCAACTTCTGATTCAGGTGGTCATTTCAGTGAACCATGCTCTCAGGCAGGTAACAGGACGCAAGCACGGGTCTACACATTTATTAGATGCATTATCTGTTTACACAGGGACATTTAGACAAACAAGATCCTGACTCAGAACAGCTTGCAGTGTCAGTTTTTGACTCTTTTTCCCTCCTGCAGCAACAGCAATTCAAATCTCTTCATTTATATTTGTCCATGGAACTTTTAACAGTTTTGCTGAGCTGATGGTCATTGTTGGCGTCTTCTGAAAGATATGGCTTTTTATCCAGCACGTGAAGATGTTGTCTTGACTGTTAGGTTCATTTCCTTCTAAATGCAAAGTACGGATTCTTCATTCAGGTTTCCATTTCCTGTCCTTCTTCCCATTTCTACTCAGCTGTTCCTAGATGAACACACCACCCTCATGTCCCTCTTTAAAACAGAGGTACAGGTTCCTCAGTATTGCCTTTTTCCACCTCACTATGTTGACACCTGAGCAGAAACACCAATTTTCTATCAGCAAAGACTGGTAGTTTCTTTTCCAAGTTACACTTTTTAATTGATGAACTAGCAAAGCATCTCTTGTAGGAAGACTAACCATTTTGCTACATCATAATAAAAGATTGAGAAAGAATGCAGAAAATAAGTTGTACATTATTAACTGTCATGGTTCTCACTAAAAAGCAGCAAGTCAGGCCATTGGGAACTGAATCTGTTAGCTTTGATGCTCAAGACCATACTGTCTTAGATCCAAAAGATTAAAATCTACACAAGGAGAAAAAGTTTTCTAAATCCTGAGTTAAATGAGATGTGGAATTAGAGCCCTTGGTTCCTGAGTATGGAGAATACTCGATAGAAACTCTAAATAGACGCACCAAAGCAAAGCTTGTAAGTATAGCTCAGGGATGACGCCCTGGGCAACCAACTTCCCCCCATTTCCAGTTTTCATGACAGCTTGCACTTTTTGTAACTGTTCTGAAACTACTTCTTGCTATCAAGCTTGTGGCTAATATAAACGTGTCTTTTAGGTTTTTTAAGCATTTATAAAATTTACAAGAAATATTGCTTTCTGCACATCTACAATTAACAGAAGAGGTCTCTACAGAGAGAGCTGTAATGACATCATTGACATCCCAGTATGTCAAATGATATTAAACTGAATTAATGAGCTACTGAAACAAGTTATAATTTCAAATCATAAGCACTGTTGAAACTGAAGTTAAAAAAAATACTAAGTTGTTCCATGACCAGTAACTAATGGAGATTAGTTTCCTGTAGACCTGTGTCCTTTTTGCTTTAGCCCTTCTTCTTTCTCTCTCTTTGACATCATTATCAGCCAGGAGACAGAAACACTGCAGTTAGTTTGGGGCACGTACTTAAAAACTGGCAAGCATGCTGCTGTGAAATTAAACAAATAACGTGTTATGCTAGCCTTTTCCCTCAATAAGGGCAGTAATTTGGGTCTTTTTCACTGATAACAGTGCATCAGTTTTCACGGAGCCTGTAACAGCCAAACGGGAACCGCTTTCAAATCTGATTAACATTGGCCAACAGATTAAATAAATACAGGGAGGACTGCCTAAGACAGCCCAGTCACGTTCTAAGGAAACCAGTTTCATTTCCTTATGATGCCAGCTACAAAGCCCAATTGGTGTTTCCACTGAAAATGTAAATCTAGAAGCAAAGATGACAAACATCTAATTTTTATTCTAATCAAATAATTCAGTATATATTTAGAAGGCTTTTCAGAAGGTCTAGGTGTCTGAAGTCATATTCTGAACTGGCTGTAGAACCAGTCTACTCAGCCTAAACCACAGAAAAGTATTCTGAACATCAGAAAGATTATCAACCACTTTGAGAGAACTCCTACATTTAAGTTTATCAACCACTTTGAGAAAAGTCCTACATTTTAACCTTTTTAGTAAAAATGAAAATACAGGCACACTCCTTCAGTCTTCCGTTTTTTCATCTCAAGTTTTACAAGGAAGTAGCAAACATGCATGCATATTTTGTTTTGCCACTACAATGTGCTGACACTTACCTTTCTAAAAACAGGAGCGGCAGCAAAATAGGGGAGGAGCGTAACATCAAATTGTCACAGCTGTTCACTAAGCAGTGCACATGCAAGCCTTAAAAACTCTGCTGAAAATCTTGAACCTGTTTTTAAATTCTACCTTCAGCAAAATAAATTACAATTTTTCAATGCTTCATAAACTTTTGGAACAGAAAAGGAAAAAATGCCACCTATTTTTGTTGTAGATGTAACAGAACAGTCTTACAGACTTTACAAAAAGCAAATTGATTTGCTGCATGGTACACCTTAGGAGAAAGGGAAAAAGATATGTCTATTGTGGCAGAGAGAAAGAAAGGTCACTGTTATCCCATTCTCTGATGTGTCCAGTTTCCCTTTTATAGCTGTCTACTTGGCAGATGCACAAAGCAAGTGTGATGAAGCAGCAGAACAGACATACGGTAAACTAAGAGCATCAGACACAAGTTACTTATCTCAAAAAAAGAAAAATCTACTAAAGGTCATGTTAGCTTTCTTGTGGAACCTATTCTCTAGCATATTTACACTTTAAGAAGTACAGAAAACTATTACACACAAACTTAGATCAATAGACAATAAAACAATATGGTAGGAAGATATCCAGCTAATTATTTTTGACAGTTGATGAACATGACTAAACAAAAAATTCTCCTCTTAAAAAAAGGAAAGAGTAAGAAGCTACATTCTCAAAGCCAAACCACACTGAAGCTATATGGCTCATGTAGCTGAAGGGCACTGAGGGGGATCACAAAGGCTAAGTTTAGCCTTGTAAGGCTAATCGCCCCAGGTATCCTCTGCAGTCAACAGAGAGGGACTGGGACACCAGAGGGTAACCGAGAACAAGAGCCTTGCATAGCTGCTGTGAATTAACCTATTACACTGCTCTGATTAACCATTATGATTGATTTTAGCTTAATCGCTTGTAGTTACTTTAAATTTGTACCTTAAGTGAAGCTAGTGGATGTTCTGGACCAAGTAAACTCCAATGAAAGGAAGCCAAATCTTCATCAGGTAGAATATGATTACCTAGAACATAACGCAGAACTTTATTTAAGTACACCATAAAACGTTACATACTGTTTCTACATGCAGCAAAACAAATTTGCAGTCAGTCCTCAATTCCCGACCAATAGGATTAGCAAAGAGAGATTAAACTTGCAGATATCTTTCTGTTACTCCAGAAAAACCTAATTAGCATGCTGCCACTGCAGCAAGATACACTTCCCTCTGTTGGAGGAGCACTCTTCCATGAAACGCAGCTCACTTACAGAAGCAACAGAGCCAGCCACAACACATGGTCTCAACCTCAACCTGGCATGTCCTATTAGGGGATCCTCAGCAGGATTTAGTAATGCAGGTGCAACAGTGTAAGAACACACTCTATTGCTCTCCGACACAAGCTGGATGCTTCCTGCATCCCAGCATGTGCCATTACTGATCAAATTCAGAGGTGCCTCTGGAATCTGCACTCTGCTCCATCATGTAGCGTGGGTCAAGCAGCAAGCTACCAGGCAGATTTATCTAACCCTCAGCAACCAGGCAGCTCCGATGACACTTAGCAGGTTCCCAGTTCCTGAAGTTTCTTTTGCTGACCTGACCAGGTCAGACAGGAGCCTGGACTGGCAGCATCAAAGTAACTGGGAAATGAAGTAGTTGTTTCAATGAATAGAGGTAGTGGCTATATTTACGAAGCTGTTCATACCAAACGGAAGATCACTTAAATTATTCTGTTTTTTTTTTTTTCCAAAGCACATCACGCCCAGAAAAAACCCTAAAAAATTCTTACTAGGAAACATCTCAAACATTTGAGTTAATCAAAGACTAACTAATCAACCACTGACACAGTTCAGTGTCTGTGGATCCAAACTTTACGAAGAGCTAAACAGAATGTATTAATGCACTTCTGGTAGAAAACTTACGGATATTTTCAATATCTGGTTTTATAGAGCTGCAGCTTAGCAGTGAATGCACAGTTCTCATTGCTGTTAATATATTTACAGCTTTTTTTTTTTTTGTAATTTCACAGTTTGGACAACATCTTGAACTCTCACCTATTCATAAAGAATATGACAAGATTCTTTGAATATGACAATTGTTTACTTTCTCAATATTTTGCTTGTAAAATAATTTAGTTTGCTTTTAATGCTTTTTAGCATGTGAAGTCCAAGAAAGTTGTCCATTGCCTGGCAACTAGTAGATGCCCTCTTAGAGAGGGAAGTCTTCGTGTCCAATCAATACTTTACCTACTGCTGAGATCTCCAGCAAAGAGACATTATAATCTTCATTCATTAGGAGCTAAACTTTAAACTCACATCAGAAAGATTCAACAAGTTTGTATATAACAGCCACATTCTTACTAATCTAATCAAGGTAGGATTAGACAGCCTTTATAATGCAGGTCTGAAAAAATCAATTACAGGCCACTAGACAATTTTGTGGTAACTCACAATAACTCCTGCAGATGCTAAGATTACCTTTTAAAACAGTCAGAGCTTCTCTCCCTTCCACCAAAACCTCAATCTTGTTTGGTCTCCATCTGTCATTTCAGTTAATTCCATCCCCTTGAACACACACATAAGACAGTCTGACCATTTGATCAATTCTCACCACATACTGAATTGTAGAATTCAGGACGTTGAAGTGCAGCAGTGTCTTCTGTAGTCCAGATAAGAAGTGATGCCTGTACTTACCTTACGTAGTTCTAAAATTTTACTGAGAAACAGAATGAGACTACATAACTAAACACGCTACAAAGTACTGTCACAGTGGGAAAGAGATCAATGTTACATAAGCAACCTCTATTTCTTGACCTGGCTGAACAACCTCAACATATATTGATTTTTCCCATTTTAATGACTTATTATAGTGTACGCCTTAGGTTTTTTTAAAGCAATTAGATACTAATTGAAGCCACTGCCCTTTCTAAAGAGTTCACTGAATTACAGCCCTATACCTCACACTGTGTTTGTTTTTCTACTGCTGAAGCTTGGTTTTGTTTTTTTTTTAATCATTCTGAAGTATCTGAGTCAAAATTTACAAAAGAACCCAAATCAACTCCCTGTTTACATCAACAGCAATTAGGACAGAACTTTTTAAGAGCACACTCTCAGAGGACACAGTATCTTGGCCACATTTTAACTACCCATGACAAGGATACTCTTTATATTATAAAGCTAGAACTACAAAACCCTTCTGCATGAAAAGCTGTAAGAAGGAAAAAGCCACAAAACAAACCAACCAACCAGTGTATACATAACCTTCTCAGAAAGTAATCTTTAAAATTTGCCTAGTTGGTACAGTCAGAAAAATATTTTGCTGGAATACTTCAATAGAGACTTTACCCCTGAACATAACTCAAACCCAAATAATTTGCCATTGAGAACGGTTTTTTAATTGACTAGTTAGGTGTCGTTCCTCAGGCTCCTCCAACTGCTGAATGTTTGGCTGAACCATTCAAGATTTTTTTCTCTTTCCAGCGTCTGCAAATTGACCCTTGAAGGTAATGACAAGAAAGTATCTGAAAACAAAGAACTTTGAGTTTTTCGTATACAGGGAAACGGATTTGCAGACCTAAAGCTCAATACTGATACAGCTATTGTGATAGTTTCGGCCTTCTGTAAACATTAAACCAGCAGCTTAACTGCAATTATTTCAGAATACATTCATTTATTCCTAAACAAAATACTAGCATGGGGAGTTACACTGATGTACCCAGAACAGAAGAGCAATGTAACAGATTCATATGCCCTCCCATGTAATCAAGTGCTCACTTATTCTTTCCCATTGTGATTTTCTTAATTCTGCTTATGAGGTTCAAAAGAGACCCGAAGAGGCCACAGGAGCAAGGGCAGAATAACCTGTGAAGCCAGACAAGCCCCCAGATATTAAATAAAAACATAAAAATTTAGATCTGAACAAGCTACCCTGCTTTAAACATATGCCACACTACACACAATTATGTGCCTATATGCATTTAATATTTTATTAAAAAAACTGAAGTTACTATACTCCTGAGGTTGCAAAAGTTAAAAAATGTTGCTAGTACTTTAAGTCAAACAGTATCTGTTTGTTGTAAGCTTATATAATCATTGTTTCTATCACCAAATACCTAGGTTTTGTAATATTGACTAATATTAAAAAAAAAAAAAGAACACTCATCGTAGGAAGACCTCTGAAGTATCTTCTGTTCTAACCCTGACTCCCATAAACTTTACTCTATTCTGCTTACTCATACTGAATACACACACAAAAGAAATGCAAAAGAATACACAAAACTAAACTTTAGCTGAACTGGGTTTTTTTTAACCTTTGTACCAATTTGGAAAAAAAAAAAAAGCTACAAAATGACCTCAAGTTTCTTTCTCCTAAAAGCAAGCTGAAAAGTATTTCGTCACGTAATATATCAAGAGAGAAAAATATTCAAGAGCTTCTTGCATAAAGTTGCAAAACCTTCAGAAAATTTACCAGAATATTTTTCACCTACCATTTAGCATAACCAAGCTATGCCTCAACTGGCCATGCAGCTGTAATTCTGTGACAGGTTAAAACGATGTCATTCACATGTACTTCACATTAATTCCATAAAGCATATCTGCAACTGTGAAACTGCTTTTCAAGCAGTAATTCTTACTCACTGAATTGGCATGCAACAACTTATTTATAGACTCCAAAACAAAGCCCAGCAATAGTAGTCTGTCATGCAATTTACACAGGGTTTTTGTTTTAAATTGCAGCTCAGCCAATCATTCCTCCATACAGCCATGCAGGCAGGTAACCATTCTGGATATGAAAAAACACACGCTAACAAAACACAACTTCAACTAGTCAAATACTTGTGGCTTTCTACTGCAAGATGCATTGGTTCTTTCCTTAACATGTAAGGTACCTGCCTGGACTAGAAACAATTGAATATTAAAGACTACTAAAATATTCGTATGCTAAAGCAATAATACATAGCCTCCCTCATTCACAGCTTCAAATGAGAAGTTGTATTCTTCTGTCATGTACCCATACTAAAACACAAAGTCAGTGAGAAAATAAAAAGAATATCCAGTTTTCTTAATTTGTTTGCTCAGTACAACAAGATCAAGAATATGGCTGCTGCGTGCTTATTTACCCAAAAAGAAGTTAGAATGCTGTTCTAAATAGATCCTATTCATTGGAGTCAACTTTATTAGTAATTAATTCACTCTTCCATCTGAGAGAGTATGACAGCTATTCTCTACCACTATTGTGGAAATAGAGTGTGTTAAAGGTGTCCCATTTAAGCAGAGATGTGAGACTGAAGTCCTTCCTACCTATACTCCTTAAAGATACTACACCATTTGGCATTAGAAGCAGGAGTGCTAAGAAACCATCCAAACAAAACTAACGTAATGGTAAGATGCTGGTCGCCTGTGCTTTCAGAAATGTGGAGTTTCACTCAATTATGTAGTATAATATATTTCTGGTGCAACTGACGTCCAACACTCATTTCCGAGGGAAAAAAAAGCCCCTGCAATCCAAACATCTTCACTCCATGTATGTCATTTTTAGGTAGAATATGAAACAGGACAGAAGCATGCTTTCCTAATCTGGAAAGCATATTATTAAAAGTAGATCTCCTATACTATGTAAGACCAAAACTAGTAGAACCACAATTGTCCCAATTCCCCCCCACCCACTGAGAACATTTTGGTATGCAGAGCTTTGCAGAATTCTTACTTTCTACTCTTGTTTCTAGACAGCCACAATTTGCATCGCTCGCAGGTCTCTACAAATTCGGCATGTCTGGCCTCATAAAAACGCATCCGGCCCACCTCAAGTATAGTAGGAATGTCTGAAACAAAGGGATGTCTTCCCCTAGGTGCTTTGTCAAATTATACACACGTATTTCAAAACAGTTAATAGAAACTGCAATCATAAGTCTGACTAGCAGCATCGAGTTCTTTTATTACTTCACTTACCTAAAAGAGCAGCAAAAATAGGAAAGCGATTTGGATTCAGGTCCAGTTGCTTGGCAACTTCATGCATTAGGTATTGGCTTGTTGTGAGACTTTTCCCATTACGGCTCAGTTTTAGGGCATGGGCACTGAAATAGTAAGGGATGTTGCACAATGCGTAATCGGAGTCATATGCAACCAAACCATGGAAACCTTTTTCTCTGCAGAAAGCAATTACTTCTTGATGATGATCCTCAATGCTCTGTGCAACCTATAGTGGAAGACAGAATAATTAGCTACAGTGTTAAATTGCAGTACTGATTTATCACACGTATTACGATATATTGGGTCTTTCTGAAATTATATACGTGCATTTGAAACACTTGCACTACATTTAAAGTAATTAAAAAAAATCCAATGACACAGCACATACGGACAGGATGTAAAGAGCGCTGACAAACACAACACAAAGTTCTGGAAGCCTACACACTGAAGTGGCATTATGTATTACTGAACTCATCTGAAATAACAGTTTATTATTTCTGTTTATTAACAGAAACGCTCAAACTCTAAATGTATTACTATACCAACGTCTGTATTAACTCATGGGAAAAATCTTAAGGCTGTGGATACTTAAGCAGCCCAGCAAGCCAAGACGCCCCCTTAAAAAGCAATCACAGGATCACTTTTAAAGTTTTGCAGCCCTGTTTTGAAAGAAACAAACATAACCCCAGATGAACAGAGGTAACTTTCTTGACCTTTCAAATGTCTACCTTGCTGTGTTAGGCCAAATTTTTCCCTCTTTCCACTTTCAGTCTATTCATTTATGCACAGCTGTCTCTGATGGTGCAAACTGCTTCAAGTTTATAGCCCAAACTTCTCACCTCTCAACTCACGTTGCCTAGCAAAGCACATATTTTAGGCTATGGCAATCAGATGACTAGAACAGACATGTTGTGCAGGAGAGACATGGGCCAATTCCTAACATTGGAAATATAAAAGCAACCCTTTCTTATCAAGATTATACCAAAACAAAAAACCCCAGGATAACAGGTTAGTACCTACAGTCCTGCATTTCTACACACCGTCAAGAACCGTTACAACTACAGTTTGCATACAAGCACACAAAATAAAGCAAGCCCAGCGCTTTTGATGCCTAATGCTTTTACCACCTACATACATAACAAACATTTAGTGATTCAGAAAACCCCACAGAAGTTGGGTGTTGGTATAACTTACCCTCACCAAGCATTCAATTTTAACAACGTAGATAGCAAGCTATCCCAAAATAGACTGGTACAAAACTATTAGCTTCAGTCTCCACAGTACGCATGAATAACTACAGTGTTAGTGCCAGTGATGCTATTTATTTCCTCTGCAGCCGAAACCCTGCAGAACATGAGTGAGGGTCCTACACCTCCACAGCCCGCTCCAACGGTCCCGCAGTCATCTACCTCTCAGCAAAGAGTTTTTGTCCAACAGCAAGTTTACAGTGACCCTTCCTTTCCTACTCATGCCCTTACACTTTCTGAACCTGACACTGAATTACAGTCTTCCGGTGAGGTATGTAAAATTTCGCTTTTCCCATCTAGCTTCACAAGATGTTCCCTTTCAAGCAAAATCCTGAGCAGCTGAACAGCCAGCACCTCACTCTCCGAGATATTCCTATGATCAATAACCAGCTCACTAAGCTCTCTCTACTCCTAATGCTACCACCTTATAGTCTTAAGAAAACATTACTTCTTCAGAAACGTGCTTGATGGACTGTTTCAGAGTGTTTTTGAAACTTACTTTTGTTTGTGAGAAAAACAAGCATGTTCATTTTTCTAATGATTATACTGTCACCTAGCTAATGTGTGCCTGCTGTACACAAAATTGGAAGAGACTGTAAACATTTTTGGAAAAAATTAAAGATATCAGATTTATACAGTTACTAACGCAAGGAGGGCAATTTAGGCTTTGCCACAACCCCCCCAGTCTGTACATGTTTTAAATTAGGAAAATCCCCCGATGTTTTTTTTATTAAGGATAGATTCAAATTATGTACATATATCTAAAATCAACATCTTTGCATGCATGACAACCACAGATCATCTATAAAAAACAAAGTAAGAACTCTCTTTGCAGCACTAGGTGTGACATGGGTGTGCAGATAATACAAGAGGAAACTCGGTGTGCAGCCCGCTCTGATCTGCTATGAACTATTTCCTCTACCTCCACAGCCTCCAGTTCCTCCCTCCCCATTTTATAGAGCTATCTGACACAGAAAGCTATGAGCATGAAACTGCAGTATGTTTAGGTGATACTAGAATCCACGTTCAAGTAATTGAACTGTCATGCGGAGAAGAGCTGTATTTACCAAGGTACAGTTAACCCGCAACATAAAACTCTAACAAGACGAGAGTCAGAGAAATAGCTTACAGCTCTCGCAAAAGGAGAGAGTCCGAAGATGCAACTGTGCACCCTTCAAAATCAACCCAGGGAGGGGGGACGCGGGGGAAATCACAGCCAGGAGTTTGGAATAATTTTCAAGTCTAAATCTTGTGTAAACATTAATGATGCTGGATCAGAAAGAAAGAATCCTGTCCGAGTAAACAGGCACATGCACATTTAGATACTGAGAACAAAACAAAGTCTCACCAAAATATTAAAGATATTAAGATCTCTGTTGCTTAAATATTCAAATTTTAGCTAACCTGCTTTGCATAAAAGTTTCTTTTAAGAATTATTTCCCCCTTCCCCAAACAGAAAGATACCAAGTCACAATTAAGCTAAGAACCTGTAGGATGTTTGTTATAACTTGGAGGAACC